GATGCTTAGCTTCATTATTTAATCAGGAAAATGCAAATTAAGACAACATTAAAATATTATTCTGCATACCAGATTGTCAAAAACTAAGAAATCCACCAACTATTATGAAGATGTGGCTTTAAGGACATTGGGGCAATCAACTGATTTAGAAAACAATTTGTCATTTGCATCTGAAATTGAAATTTGTATGCCCTAAGACAGACCCAGAAATTTGACTACTAGGTTTAGGTATTTTGTAAAGAAAATCTTAATTATACTAGGAGACATATAAAATAAAGATTCCAAGCAGTAATGTTTATAACAGAAGAGGAAGAAAAAGAACCATTTGATACACTACACAGTAAGGAAATTATTAAAGATGTTCGGCTGCAAAGAATCATTGAATTGTCCTTGATCCCCAACAACCACCAGTTTAGAGCAAAGCTCTGCTTCCTATTACCCAGTCAAAGCCCAAATCTTATAAGAGGTTCTGACACCTTCTTACTAGAGCTTCCCAGGTGGCTCAGTGGTAAAGAATCCACCTGCCAAGCAGGAGATGCAGTTTCGGTCCCTGGGTCTGGAAGATCCCCTGGAGGAAGAACGGGCAACCCACTCCAGTGTCCTTGCCTGAGAAATCCCATGGACAGAGGAGCCTGGTGGGCTACAGTCCATGGGGTCACAGAGAGTCAGACTTGACTGAGAACGAATGCACCTTCTTACTGAAGCACCCCATGATATGCATGCCCTTAGCTGCAAAGAGTAAGAAACCCAACATGTTAACAAGTGTGTTCCCAGTGGTCTTTTCTTTGGCCGGGTTGGCTGGGAGGGCGGGGGGGCGGGGATAGGCATTGACAAGCTGAACACAAAGTACAGTAACTGCTCTGGTCTCTTTTTCTTCTTGGACACATGAGCAGACAAATAGTGACATCAACAGCCTTTGAAATCTCCACTTAGTCCAGTCTCCAATGTGTGATCTAGATGTGATTCGCAGACACTGGTGCTAAGGAAGTCAAGAAACTGTGGAGTTGAGAGTATTAGACGTGATTTCCACATGGACACTGAAATTGCCCCGGAATGAGGGGACAGAAGCTGAGCCAGTGAAATGATGTCTGGGCAACTTCCCCTTCAGCTAAGAGGAGATCATTCCTGTCTCCTCTTTTGTCTCAACTTCCCTCCAACCTTTGGCATCTTGGAACAGAGGAGGATTTGGAAATTGGGACCAAACTCACACGAAGAGGGAAACAAACCAAAAACAAGAAGACAGAAAGGGTAGGATCTCAAGGCCAAAGAGAGTGTCCTGGGTGGTGGGGGCTGTGGTTCTAGTGGTCAGCGAGGGGCTATGCCCTTTCCAGAACACTCAAGGGCTGGTTTAAACACATACCTAGTGTTTTCATATCACCACTGTTCTCAAACCTCATACAGAAAATTTATAGATGAAGAAAGTGGGGCTCAGAGATGTTATGTGACTTATTCAAGGTCCCTCTGCCAGTAAGAGGTGGAACCAAGACTGAAACATCCAATCCCACCTGAATTAGTACCATTTACCCCACCAGACTGGTCAGCAGGAGTGCTGGCTTCATTTTCAGAAAACACAGAGAAAGCCAGGAGCCGGAGGTAGGAAGAAATGTCCTCTGGAGGGTCCTTATAAAGAGCACCTTATAATCTCTCTCCTCTCGCTTCCCTCTTAGAAGCAATTAAAGTGTTATGAAAACACAAAACTCTAAAACCAGGGGGTAAGAAAGATACTGTTTAAAGTGTCACTGGTCAGCACAACACCAGGGTCCCAAAGCAGAGCCTCCTCGAGATAGCTGGAGGCAGCTCCCATATACCAACGTCATTCCCATGACTCACATGGTCAGCTCTTCCTTAGTGTGTGGGAATGAGACAATCAGGATGCTGGGGGGCGGGGTGGGGGGCAGGTTGCTGGAAATGAGCATCACGGTCTCTGAGAGCCATCCAGACACACCTTGCTATTGGGAAATCCCCTTGGCCTTCACTCCAGGGATCCCTGAGGGCCCTGTAGGCTTAAACTGAGAGAGGAGAAAGCCTTAATATCCGAAGGAACAGCTCAGAGTGAAGGGACCCTTCAATCCCCATCAGTTCTTAGCACTTGGGTCTGCAGAGTCTGGGAATGCACAGAAGCTGTGCTGACAGCATCTCGGGGGGGGGGGGGGGGGCGTGTCACGTGACTGTGGGGCCGGGAGTCCTCCCCCAGCTGCAGAGCCTCCAGGCATTTTTTCCTGAGTCACCTGCCCATTCCTACCCACCTGAGTACCACCTAGTCATGAATCTGAATTCCTTTGAGATTTGTCCTTTTCCCCGAGAGAAGCACACCATCTTTCTAGAGTGTAGAGATGTGAGTCAAATCAAGCTGCCATTAATCATTAGGAGAGAACTTGGTTAGTCTCCCCAAGTCTAATGTATAAGCCAAAGAGACTAGAGAGGATTGTTAAGGCAGCATTCCTGCAGGGCAGGCAGTCACGGAGTCAGACAGGCTTGGGGGGCTCTGCACCTGAGAAATCCCAAATTGGCTGGATGTGCAGTAAATCCATCTTTCCCTGTCGTTTTGCCGAAAGTTTTCAGTTTCGCCTCAGGTTCAAAGGTTATGTTAACAAAATAAGCCACTTGTTATACACAAATAAATAATACCAATATTTATTAGAGAATCACCCAGCTTACTTTCAATATAGTAACATTAAAAGAAAAGCGAAATAGAAAGAGCAGAGGATACATCACCAAATTGGGTTTTGACCAACATCCAGACTCAAAGAGCGCTGGGAAGTCCCACGACACAGCACATCTGGAGTCCCAGTTGGGAAAAGGTCCCAGGCAGCTCATCCACTCAGTGTGTGACTTCAGAGATTGCGGTTTGGGGTTCCCGTTTATAATTCCAGGATGCAAACTGATATCATCATCAATCTGAGCAAACTGCATCTCTGGCTTCTTGTTAATGCTGTTTGTTTTGTCTTGTAAAACTTGGAATGCTGTTAAGCCTGGGGCTTGGTTGACCAGCCCCCATCCAAGGACTCAAAAATTTCAAGATTTGTCCCCTATTTTATCTATGGTGCCACAAGTCTTGCACTCGCATCAGGCAGTCAGGGCACTCAGAGTCAGGGCAGTGTTCAGGCAGGTTAGAGGCAAGGTCAAAGGCCAGCTCTGCTTTGTCTCTGAAGCCTAGACAAAGCTATTTAATTTCCCTAACACTTGCTCATCCTTGGCTGCCTTCACTGTCCATCTGAATACCCCCTTCCTCATGCTGACCCCACAGATCCTTGACCGCATAAATTCTACTCTGCTCTGCCTGGCACACATATACCCTGCATACCCCATGGAATTCATCACTTCCCTTTGCTCTTCCACTTCTGAAATACCAAACTATTCTCTGACACCAATTCCTATTCTTCCAGCTCTGACACTCTGTTAGTTTCACTGTCCGTTCTTCACCCCCTTGGAAATGCCCAGTTTGTAGAGAACATAGTGTTCTCTTGCCTTGATTGTCTTAATCAGACTTGTTCTGCATTTGAGGGGAGAAGAAGGCGTGAGGGAGGCCTTCCTCTTTCAGGCTGTGAAGTCTGGGGCTGGAACTGGGGCTGGCATGGAGACCAGGCTGGGACGGGGGAGGAAGGGAGGCAGTCGGCTGGGTTAGGGGCCCCACAAAGGAGCTGGCCAGGAACAATGGGGAACAAAGGCTGGACATTCTTCCGCTGAGCCCCCAGAGCCTGGCCTTGGTCTTCCGGGAACAGCTCCAGGAAATGTCTGAGATTCCAGATTTGGAAGGAAGAGACCTGTAAACAGGAGTTGGGCTCTGAAAGGGGAGAGCAGCATATCTCTAGGGAGGGGGTGGGGAGAAGTGGGGTGTGCCCTGACATTGCAGGCTCAGAAGCTACAAGTCTGTCTGCTGTAAACACAATATTTCAGGACTGGAAAAACTATTTATTTTTTTGCCACACGCATGTGGGACCTTAATTTCCTAACCAGGGACCGAACCCTCACCCCTGCATTGGAAGGTGGATTCCCAACCACTGGACCACCGGGGAAGTCCCAGGGCTGGAAAAAGCTCTTAAAGGCCATTTACTCTAACCATCTTTCCAGGGTCTGAAAAATATCCCAGCCAAGGATGCTTGAATAGTTTCAGTGATGGGATGTAGATAAAAATAAATAAATCATAATATTAGCTAAGCTTTACTGATCACTTACGAAGCATTAGGCACTGTACTAGGTTGATTCTATGCTTCATCTCTTCTCTTATTCCATCTCTCAAGGTAGGAACTATTATTGCTGTTGTTGTTATTATTCCCTCTTTATAAATAAGGAAACTGACTTTCAAGGATGAAGTCACTTGCCCAAGGTATCCCAGAAGTTTATCTGTCTGTCTCTGAGCTGACTAGGAGTGAACTGTAGGCATCTCCCAGACTGTCCCAGAGTCTCTTATCTTCCTTATCTTCTGGCTTACCACCCCACCTCTCCCTGGGAAATGGACATGAGACACTGCCCCCCACCCAGTTATCTTCCTCATTGCTTTTCTCTACCCTTAGCCTCAGAATGCCCGTGCCCTGAGATTTCACCGCTGGGTTTCTAATCCACTCTAGCAGTGGGGTAGGGGTGAGGGGTGTCATCTGGAAAAAAAGGAATTGGGATTGGGGTTGAATGGTTTACTAGAGGCTTGGAATTAAAGGATCGAAACTCCTGGAGTTACGGTCAGGGTGAGGATTACCTCTAAGAAATCCCAGACTAGGGTTTGAGTTTAGAGTCACAGGTTATGACTAAAGGGTCAAGGTCATAGAGCCTCTCTCCTCTGGTCTCCTCCCAGTTCTCCAAGGCCCTGAAGGCCGGGCAGGAAGCATCGGTTTCCTCCAAGCTGCTTCCCTCCTGGGGCAGAGTCTCGGTCGCAAACAACCACCACCAGCCCGCCCCGCCCCTCCTTCCCCCCCCCCCCGCCCCCCCCACCCCCCCCGCGCCGCTGTGAGCTCAGAGCAGTAGGACCAAGAGCTGCGGACCAGGTCAGAGCCCCACAAGCAGCCATGGGCGCTGGAGGAGCACGCCTCCTCGGGCTCCACTGGGCCCTGCCTCTTCTGCTCCTCATGGGTGAGTAGGACCGGTTCTCCCCGCTCCTAGCCCGCGCACCCCTGATCCGAGTCCTGGCCGAGGCGGGGGAGGCCCTTTCGCCTCTGTTTCCCTTTGGCAGTCGGGGTAGCAGAGACAATGGTGATGATGGTGGTGGTGCTGTTAAGTGCGAGAGAAACAGATCGAGGGCTCCACAGGCCCTCGCTGCATGCCAAGCGTGCACACTGGCCCTCTCGCCTCCCTCCCAGCATGTTATCTAGGAGCTTGTTTGGAGGTACTAGCAGGAGAGCACAGCTTATACTCTTGACCGAAGACCGGTTCTTCTCTATCGTGGACGGTCGTCCTCTTTGACTGATGGCATAGCTTCGGGCAGGACAGACGTGGAGTGGTGAGGGAAGAAGGGGACACCCTCCTGGCCAGCCAGATTAGCTGAATCAACCCTGGGGTGACAGATGTCATAACCAGATCGCCCTCACATCCCCAGTATGTTATTTGGGAACTCGTTTTCAAGAAGAGGCAGATGAGACATGAGGGGTTTGGGGTCCCTACTGGTAGTCAGACTGGGCCCCGCCTCCTTTTCTCTCCCCAGGAAGCATGGCCCAGGACTTCCCACCCCAGATCCTAGTCCATCCCGAGGACCAGCTGTTCCAGGGCCCCAACCCGGCCAAGATGAGCTGCCGGGCCTCAGGTCAGCCGCCTCCCACCATCCGCTGGCTGCTGGATGGGCACCCCCTGAGCATGGTGCCCCCAGACGTTCACCACCTCCTCCCTGACGGAACCCTCCTGCTGCTGCGGCCCCCTCCCCGGGGACGTGCCCACGACGACCGCACCCGATCCACGGACCTGGGAGTCTACACCTGTGAGGCCAGCAACCGGCTGGGCACGGCAGTCAGCCGGGGCGCGCGGCTGTCCGTGGCTGGTGAGGCCTGGTGGGGAGACTGGGGAGGGGAGGGCTGGGTGCAGGGTGGTCCTAGATGGGAGACCTGGGAGGTGGGGCTGTGAAGAGTCAGCACAAGGCAGAGCCCAAAGGCAGGTGACACAGAGCAGGTTGGAAGTGCCAAGGTGGGACCCGGATGGAAGGGCCAACCCTCTGTCCTCCCCGCAGTCCTCCAGGAGGATTTCCAGGTCCAGCCTCGGGACACAGTGGCTGCAGTGGGCGAGCAGGTGCTTCTGCAGTGTGAGCCGCCCTGGGGCCACCCAGAGCCCACTGTCTCATGGTGGAAGGATGAGAAACCCCTGGCCCTGGAGCCAGGGCGGCACTCGGTGAGCCCCTTCCCAAACCTCATCCTGTCCGGGCCTCAACTGTGCACACCCAAGGGCCTGACCCGCTCCCCCCGCCCCCAGCCCCAAGTCTCCTGCAGTAGTTGAGGAAGGGGCGGCCGTGAGGCCTTAGGCCTTCCTCCCCATGTGGGAGACTTCACAAGACACCTGGTCCTGACAGGTGTCCCAAGGCTCCCTGCTGATGGCAAGAGCAGAGAAGAGTGACGCAGGGGCCTACATGTGTATGGCCACCAACAGTGCAGGACGACGGAAAAGCCGGGTGGCCAGGGTGTCCATTCAGGGTAAGGGGAGGGCGGTCGGCTAAGGTCAGGGCCAAGGTGGGGGGCACCAGTTAGGGTGGTGTGCTCTGGTTGGGGCTGGGGTTAGGGGATGTGGGGGTTCGACCCGGGATATGGGTCAGAGTGGTGGAGACCTCATTTTGGGGCGGTTCCTCCATCCAAGGGCTTCCCTCATAGCTCAGTCGGTAAAGAATCTCCCTGCAGTGCAGGAGACCCAGGTTTGATCCCTGGATAGGGAAGATCCCCTGGAGAAGGGAAGGGCGACCCACTCCAGTGTTCTTGCCTGGAGAATCCCACGGACAGAGGAGCCCGGTGGGCTATAGTCCATGGAGTCACAAGAGTCAGATATGACTGAGCTGCTAAATCATCATCACCCTCCATCCGAGGACAGGCATTGGAGAGCTCACGACCGGGGCAGCTGGGAGTTCTGGCTCCTCTGTGGCCGAGGGATGCACCACTCTTCAATTTCTTCCCTCTGACCTATGGGCCCATCCCCAATGTGTGCGCCCCACAGAGCCCCGGGACTACAAGGAGCCCCTGGAGCTTCTGGCTGTGCACATTCAGCTGGAAAACGTGACCCTGCTGAACCCAGACCCCAAGAAGGGCACCAAGCCTGGGCCAGCTGTATGGCTCAGCTGGAAGGTGAGGCCCGGGACCTGGGGGTGGAACAGTCACAGCTCAGGAAAGGGCTGCTCACGAGAGCCCTGAGTCCTCCCCTCCCCCCGTCTTCCCAGGTGAGCGGCCCCGCGGCACCTGCTCAGTCCTACACGGCCCTGTTCAGGACCCAGGCAGCCCCTGGGGGCCAGGGCACCCCGTGGGCAGAGGCCCTGCTGGCTGGCTGGCAGAGCGCAGAGCTTGGAGGCCTCCACTGGGGCCAAGACTACGAGTTCAAAGTGAGACCGTCCTCCGGCCGCGCTCAAGGCCCCGACAGCAACGTGCTGCTCCTGAGGCTGCCTGAACAAGGTCAGGAACGGATGCTTCCAGAACCCAACAATATACCCCCAGCCCCTTTCTGTCCCTCTGTAGTCAGGAGGAAGAGGAATAGTGGCTTCCACCCCTGGTCCCCTCTTGTCCTGGCTCTGAAAGCAGAGCTGAGAGAAGCTCTCGTTCTTGTCAGTATGGCTCGGACCTTATGACCCCAGCCCTGCTCTTTTCTCTAGAAAGGGTTTCCCTAGGATTCCTTCAGCATTCCTTACCGCCTGTCTCCCTCCCCACCAGTGCCCAGTGCCCCTCCCCAGGAGGTGACCCTAAAACCTGGCAACGGCAGTGTCCTTGTGAGCTGGGTCCCACCACCTGCTGAAAACCACAATGGCATCATCCGTGGCTACCAGGTACCCCCCGCAAGCTGACGCACCGCTCCCCAGTAGTGCCAAGATGTCCCTCTTCCCTGGCTCTGGGCACTAAGAAACGGTACCTGCCCAGCGAAGCAGGGACTGTACTGTTTGCCAGACACTGCCACGCGCTTACCTACATGATCTCATTTCCTCTCACAGCCCATACTGGGTTGTGAACCCCAGTTTACAGACATGGAAAGTGAGTCTAGGCTCATGAGTGTGGGAAACAGGACAGGGACCAAACCAGGCTGTGACTGACTCTGAGTTTCTAAGGCAGGGGTGCCAGAGTGTGATTCCTGGACCAGCAACATCACCATCATCTGAGAACTTGTTAGAATGCAGATCCTTCAGTCCGTTGACAGGCTTTGTGGGTCAGAATGTCAGAGATGGGCCTGGCCATCCAGATTTTAACAAACCCTCCAAGTGATCCTAAAGCACACTGATGTGTGTGAACCACTGGTCTAATGCCTACTTTGGAAGATTGCTTTCATCCCTCTTCTGTCAGTCTAGAGAGAAGTCTCACCCACTTTGTAGGGAAGAAGGAAATAGGAAGTGTGGGTGTATGTGGGAGTGTCTCCAGGTAAACACCAGGAGAGGGTGGCCACATACCCAGAGTCTGATCTGCAGATGAAGGGGCTTAACTGCTGTGATGGTTTTGGAGGCGGGCAAGCTCACCTCTGTTTGTGTCTCAGGTCTGGAGCCTGGGCAACACCTCATTGCCCCCGGCCAACTGGACCGTGGTGGGTGAGCAGACCCAGCTGGAGATTGCCGCTCGCATGTCAGGTTCCTACTGCGTGCAAGTGGCTGCAGTCACTGGCGCGGGCGCTGGGCAGCCCAGCAGCCCTGTCTGCCTCCTATTAGGTGAGGACTGTGCCCTCTGGCCCCACCCAGACCCCATCTAGGGCCCCTTTCCACCATTCTCTCTCCCTGCTCATGCTCCCAGCTCCTCCCCCCTTGTCTACCCACCTTCATTGCCTCGTCCTGAGCTCAAATTCCCCTACAGAGCAGGCCATGGAGCGAGCTGCCCAGCAACCCAATGCGCACAGCCCATGGACCCTGGAGCAGCTGTGGGCAGCCTTGAAGCGGCCAGAGGTCATCGCCAGCGGGGGTGTCGTGCTGTGGCTGCTGCTGCTGGCCACGGCCGTGTGCATCCACCGCCGGCGCCGAGCTGGCGTGCACCTGGGCCCAGGTGAGAAGGTGATGGACTCGCAGGTGGACTGGCCGGCCTTCCCTGGGTCCAGCCAGGATGCAACAGGGCTTTGGGCCTCTAGCCAGGTGCTGGAGACTCTGGGCTGACCCTTCCTCCTGCCCTATCTCAGGTCTGTACAGGTACACCAGTGAGGATGCCATCTTAAAACACAGGTGAGACAGGAAAGGGGCGGAGGTGAGGGAGGGGCAGAGGGGCTGAGGGACAGGGAAGCTGAGACAGAGAACTGGCTGGAGCATTTGTCTCCCTTGCATGGGTGCATGCCGTGTCGCATGAGTCATGTCTGACTCCTTGCAACCCCATGGACTGTAGCCCGCCAGGCTCCTCTGTCCATGGGACTCTCCAGGCAAGAATACTGGAGTGGGTTGCCATGCCTTCCTCTAGGGGACCTTCCCAACCCAGGGACTGAACCCGCGATTCTTACATCTCCTGCATTGGCAGGTGGGTTCTCTACCACTAGTGCCACCTGGGAAGCCCCGTCTCCCCTACTGCCAGGCAATTTGTCATTCTAACACCTGAATCTCCCCTGAACTTCAAGTGAGAATTAATTTCTCTTTCATTTTTTATTTTTAATCATCTTTAATTTCTCTGTCACTATCACACCATCTGACAGGTAAGTCACTGGCCCCACCCAGACTTCAGTGACCACCCAAGGTTACATGGCCAGCACCTGCCTTCTGAACCCCTATTCTGGTGCTCTTGTTACCGACCTCTCATTAATACTTACTGCACTCTCCTGCTGGATAGGGAATAAGTAGCATGGGAGGACCAGTCTGATTTCTAATTCTCTCTGTACATTCAGCATCTTCTGAGCGTTACCTTTGAGTTCAGCAATCACCTATCCCCACTGAGGCATCTTTCTTTCACAATAATCCACCCACAGTTCCAGCAGAGGGCACTCTGTCCCTATGTGATTGCTTCTTACTTCTTGTTCTCAATAACCCAGCCTGCCTGCGGGTATCCACCCATCTGCTCCGAGTGCGTTCGGTGGCCAGAGCAAGTCTCCAGTTATGAGACAAGACACTAAGAAACATCCTTTTTTCTCCTATTGACTGAGTTTTTCACTAAACCATTTCATCTCTGCCCACCTTCTCCTGCTCTTTATCTCATTAGATTTCTTATGAGAGATTTCACATTCCGGATCTGCATCCTTCAACAGGAGTATATCAAGCACCTCTTATGTGCCAGCTCTCAGGCTACCATCTTGCTGTCAGTTTCTCAGCCCAGAGCAAGGTTCCGTGCTGCTATTGCTGTGTTCCTGTGTTATCCTGTGCGCCCTGGCCTTTCTCTTCCAGCCACTTCCTGGGCTTAGCCTGCGCCTTCCTGAACTTTCTGTCTCCCCTGGGACGTCATCCTTTTCCTCAAGGGAGATTCCATTCTGATCACCTTGTTCATTCATTTCTTGAGAAGGGTCACTGTCTGCCAGGAGAACACTCAGTCTAGCCGAGACAGACACTTGAGCATAAATGCAATCCAGAGCTGGGAGTACCAGCAGGGGGCTGGGTGGGGAACCACGGGAGGAAGATCTCACATTTCCCCTGACTGCACGTGTAAAATAGCGAGCTGGTGGGAAGCTGCTATAAAGCACAGGGAGCTCAATGCAGCACTCTCTGGTGATCTAGATGGGGTGGGAGGGGGGTCAGGGGGAGGCAGGTCCAAGAGGGAGAGGATATTTGTCAGTATATGGTTGATTCACTTCATTGTACAACAGTAACTAAAATAACATTGCGAAGCAATTATATTAAAAAAAAAAAAACCCAAAAAGTTAAAGCTGAAATAAAGGGGGAAGGCAAAGGGAATAGCAAGAAATAGCCTGCTATTTATAGGGAAAGACAAGCCTTTTGGTTGGGCTGGGGCCTCCAGTATAGGATGGGTCAGAGCAAAAGATAAAGCTGAGGAGCTGGAAGCTAGGCCAACGAGGGCCCTGTTAGCCACACTAGGCAGCTGGGCTCCATCTTGGTACATGGGGAGCCACAGAGGGTTTTAGGCAGAGAAGTGGTTTGGTCTGATCCCCACCGGCATGGCACCCTACTCAAAGGGAATCAGGCTAGAGACAGGGAAGCCAATATCCAGGCAGCAAACTCCTGTGCTGCTGGCTGAGTGATCTCTCACTTCTTCCTCTCATCTTATAGCATCAGCCTTGTAAGGAAGTCTTACTGTTAGAGGAACCAGGGCTTAGAGAGGCTAATAGACTGAGCTGACCCAGGGTTGCACAGCTAGGCAGCACCAGATCTGACCCTCAATGTGTATTCTTTCTGTCTCAGCACACAGCCATCTGTCTGTGAAACCTCCCAGCTCTGGGGCAACTTGGCCGTCCTTTGATCTCAGGATAAGAAAGGGGCACTGTGTTTGGGACAGAAGATCAGAGATCTTAAGGAGTCTGTGGGGGTATGAAAAGCAGTGAGAATAAAGCTGGTACCGCCATCTACTCTACCCCTTCCGCTACCTGCTGAGCTCGAGGTCTTGACCAATCACGTTTTCCCTCCACCTGCTTCTCTGCCCTGCACCCCTCATTGTCCAGGATGGATCACAGCGACTCCCCCTGGCTGGCAGACACATGGCGCTCCACCTCTGGCTCTCGAGACCTCAGCAGCAGCAGCAGCCTCAGCAGTCGGCTGGGAGTGGACCCCCGGGACCCGCTAGAAGGTCGCTGCTCTTGTGAGCATGCCCCCCCCAACCCAGGGGTGCGGGTAGGGGGCCTAGCAGTTGAGCGGGGGGGGGGGGTGCTGGACAAAAGGGGGCGTGGGTGAGCTGCATTCACCATAATCATTCCTGTCATTTTTTACCGCAGTGATCTCCTGGGATCCCCGAAGCCCTGGAGTGCCCCTGCTTCCTGACACCAGCACTTTCTATGGCTCCCTCATCGCCGAGGGGCCTTCCAGCCCCCCAGCCCGGCCAAGCCCCCAGGCCCCAGCTGCCAGGCGGCTCACACCCCAGCTGGCCCAGCTCTCCAGCCCCTGGCCCAGTTCAGACAGCCTCTGTGGCCGCCGGGGTCTCTCTTCCCCACGCTTGTCTCTGGCCCCCGCAGAGGCCTGGAAGGCCAGAAAGAAGCAGGGTAAGGCTTCGAGGATGCACGCAGCCTGAATCGGGGTATGGGGGACAGGAGTCTCGGGGCCAGGTGTGGGCTGCCTTCCACCCACAGTCTGTCCTGATGGACACCTATTACCGTGCACCCAGCCAGGAGTGTGGAGGAGCAAATGGCAACCCACTCCAGTATTCTTGCCTGGAGTATCCCATGGACAGAGGAGCCTGGCGGGCTACAGCCCGTGGGGTCGCAAGAGTCGGACATGACTTGGCGACTAAACCACCACCACCACCAGCAGCCAGGAGTGTGCTGGCCTCAGTTTTTCTTTCCTTCGCTCTTTGGGTCTTCACTGAGCCATGCAGGATCTTCTTTCATTCATGTGGCATCTTTGCTTCTGTGCACGGACTCTCTCTCTCTCGTTGTGGGGTAGGAGCTTCAGTAGTTGCAGCCAGCAGGCTTGGTTGCTCCGAGGCATGTGGGATCCTACCTCCCCAACCAGGAATCGAACCCATGGCCCCTGCATTGCAGACAGATTCTTAACCACTGGACCACCAGGGAAGCCCCAGGCCTCAGATTTTCTTTACACGGGTGGGGGCAGGGGGGCTCTTCTTTGTGTTTCTCACACCAGCAGTGAGCCCTGTTTCTGCAGTCAGCTCAATTCAGCAAACACTGAATAAGCACCACTAGGGGTAGGAGAGGGGAACACAGTGATACTAAACACAATCCTTGCTCTCTACTAGCTCCAAGTCTAATGAAAGTGCATGACCGGCACATGGCTTATTCTAGAACCTGAAGGAGAGTGACCAGTGCTAGCAGGAAACCTCAGGCTCACATAACCTCTGTACTGTGTATTGTGTACATATGCGCTATGCACGATGTATGGGTCCTCCCCAGGTACCAACTCCCAGCTTGCTTCACAGAGAATGAGCATTTCCTTTCTGTCAATTTCTCTCCTGACTTTCGACTACTTGTTTGGACTTTTCAGAGAGAAATACGTATAGTCTCTATTTCTTTAGCAACTACTATTTGTTAGGTGCTTTACTCATGTTTGTTAGCTCATTGAATCCTCACAGTATATTGGCAAGGTGTTTATTTCTCTAATTTTACAGATAAGGAAAGAGGATCAGAATGGGGTAGCTTGTTTAAAACCCTACGTCCATGAGCTGCAGATCTCAAATTTGAAACCAGAATCGTCTGCTTCCAAAAGTTACTTTGAATCTCTCTGGGAGCACCCCTGGGAAACTCTGTTCTCTCGATAACTCTGTTTCTCCACTTCTGAACATTGACTTCACGCTCTGCCATCTCCATGAGCCTCCTGTACTGATTAGTTAAGATTTATAAACATTCAGCAGCCAGTTTTGTTAAGTGAATATAATCCAACTTTTATCAAGATAAAGATGGATTTAGAGTAATTAAGGGCTTGGCCAATATCCAGAATTTTATGACTCTAAATATTAGCGAAGCTGGCATCCTTTCCAGCTTTGCCTCAGAGCTATTGCATTAGAAATCCTCTGTGATCATGAAATACCAGCTAAAAAGAGGTTGCATAAATCTCATTTAAAAAGTAGCTTTTTCATGGATAACCACACTGATTTGAATATAATGTATGTCCCACTTGAAAACATTAATGCTACCCCGAAAAGAGGAGCAATTTTCTACGGTCAGTTGTTAAGAAAGGTTCCCATTCTGAGACGAAGTTTTCTAATCTCACTTAGAGATTTAGGTCCTCATCACACCCCCTTTCTCCCTCATCTGGCTCCACGCCATCACTGCTCCAGGATGGGGTGAGCATAGTAATTCCTCTGGGCTGGTGGGCAACAGCAACAGCCACAAGATCTCATCCAGAGGGACTTTCCTTGTGATCCAACAGTTAAGACTCCACACTTCCACTGCAGGGGTCACAGGTTCAATCCCTGGTTAGGAAGCTACCATCTCACAGGCCACGCAGTACAGCCTGATAATGAAAAAAGAAAAAATCTCATCCAGAGGCATGGAGCTCCTCTATGGCTATCATCTAGTCCAAAAGTCTGCTGATTCTTTGTCTTCGAACTCTGGCAGTCTCTCTCAGTGCCCCCCCCTTGAGCTGCTTATTTCTTTTTCTTATTATCTGAGCCTAGTTGGGTTTTTTTACCTCTGTACTAATACTCTGACTACAGCTGTCTCATCCATTATGTCAGATTCTTAGTTCACTTTGCCGATACATATATTAAATATCCTCATTAAATAATTCACTCAAATATCTATCGCAATTCAGGTGTACCCATCAAGATTCCACCTCACTTTGATAACATTAATGTATAGTTTAATTCCCTCCAGTACTCTTGCCTGGAAAATCCCATGGACGGAGGAGCCTGGTAGGCTGCAGTCCATGGGGTCGCTATGAGTCGGACACAACTGAGCGACTTCACTTCATAGTTTAATTCAAATAATATTGACACTAAATTCAAGTAATTCCAAGCAAGGTGGAAAGCAGTTTTCTTTTTTTGGTTACCAAAAATCCTTTAGAAGAAATAAAGTGAACTGGGATAAATACAGTCTTTTCCCTTCCCCTTCCACATAAATCAACACCAATAGCATGTGCCCCCACTTCTGAGCTTAGGCAAGAAGCCAGGCCCAAGACAAGACAAAGCTGGTGAGAGTGGGGGTTGGGGCTCTCAAAGCTGGCCTCCAGGACTCCTTGGGTCATAGGACAATTAAAGGAAATGAGTAAAAGCTAAACCAGCCAAAGTACAAAAGGAAACTCTAGTGGAGGAAGTCTAGCCATTGTGTGGGTTTTCATCCAGTGGCTTAGAAGGTCCAGCCACTGTACATGGGTTTCTAGGACCCAGATGGATCCTTGATGAATGCCTTGTCCTCACTCTGAACCTGCCCATCGTGGTCCCCACACCTTTTATATTAGGTTGACGAGACAGCTCTGCGTCGGGAGTCCTGCCTGGTCTCTGCTCCCCTTTCCTAACTGGGCTTTGGGCTTTTGATTGTGTGGCATTAACCTGAAGGTTATTTCTTTTCTCCTTTGATTGATGTTCTCTTATTCCAGGTCTTGGGGAAATCCCTTCTCTTTATTACTCTGTTTCTCTTCTGGCTTAAACTTAGATCCATTTTGGTTTTGGCCTGACCAAGTCATTGCACACAGCCTGGGCTTTTGTTGTCACAATTTACTCAGAGCCCTGTCTCCTAAGTGGCCAGATGGGCCTGATGGTAGCTGCCATCTCATACATGATTCTTCTCACTTTGTGTTTACAACTGCATCTCTAATGTCATCCATCCATTCACTCATTCACTCAATACATCTTGACTATCCACAGGCAAGGCGTTGCCCACCTGGGTGAGACCAACCCTTCTTCCTACTCTAAAGTTCCTCTTTCCATCAGCTGACTCTCTCTCATCATACCTGGCTGGTGTGGGGCTCCCATCTCTTGTCTTCCTCATTATTTTTAAAATATTTTTTAAAAATTATTTATTTATTTGGCACTGGGTCCTAGCTGCAACACGTGGGATCTTTTATTATAGTTGAAGCCAGCTCTTAGTTGCAGCATGTGGGATCTAGCTCCCTGACCAGGGATCAAACACGGGCCCCTTGCATAGGGAGTACAGAGTCTTAGCCTCTGGACCACCAGGGAAATCCCAAGAGGTTGTTTTTAAAATTATCTATTAGATGCCAGCAACTTTCCAATCTGTTTTCAATTGCTTGGTAAAACCATGCTTTGAAGTGGCTGCTTACAAATGAAACAGGCTCAGGAAGGTTGATGCGTTTATCTGAGGTCACACTGCTAAAACACGGTGGAGCTGGACTGTGAATCAGGTGATTTAACTCCAAGTCTAGTGCTCCTTCACTGTTATATCACAGCTGCCTGGATGGAGGGAAATTCTTCTCTCTTCTTTCTGGATTCAGAGAAAAGCTTAAGTGGATGATCAGGCTGAAGACAGAGCCTGTGGCTGGGATCTGAAGGCCCACCTGGACTGGCCGCCAGCCCCACAAACAAAATTCTATGTTTTGCAGAGTTGCACCAGGCCAACAGCTCCCCACTGCTCCGGGTCAGCCACCCTGCGGAGCTCTGGGCCTGCGAGGTGAGCAACAGAGGCTCCAAGAACTTTCCCCAAAGCCCAGGTGAGTGGAGGGCCCTGGGAGGCGAATGAGGGAGTGAGGCGCGGTGTGGGGCCCGCCAGCCCCTCCATCTGGCTTCTCCTGCCCCGGAGGAGGCTGGCTCGGTGCGGCGGGCGGACAGGACGCTGCGCGGACAGGCAAGCTGCGGCCTGGGGGCTGTGAGGGTTCCGCGATCTCACGCCCAGGCTCTCGTTCCCCAGGAGCTGTGCCCCGTGCCCTGGTGGCCTGGCGGGCGCTGGGGCCACAGCTCCTCAGCTCCTCCAGTGAACTGATGGCTCGTCCTTTGCCCCCGGTACCACTCGCTCCCCGTGGGCCCCCCACCCAGAGTCAACAGACCCAGTAAGAGGGCCTGGGGTCGGGAAGCAGGGCGGGGCACTGGGGATGCGGGAGGTGCTTGCTGGGCGGGGCTGGGGGAGGGGTGGCAGGGACCGGAAGAACTGCGATAACCATCCCACTGTCTTACCCCAAACAGGCGCTCGGTGGAGCCCCCAGCCCCCACCTCCCCTCCACCGCCAGCAGCCCCCATCCCCGCCCTCATTCCCTCCGGTACCCTCCGCCCTTCCAGCCTCCAGGCCTCCTCCCTCTCTGGTCCCAGCCCAGCGTCCAGCCGCCTGTCCAGCTCGTCGCTGTCGTCCCTGGGGGAGGATCAGGACAGCGTGCTGACCCCTGAGGAGGTGGCCCTGTGCCTGGAGCTCAGTGAGGGTGAGGAGACCCCCAGGTGAGTGGCCGGAGGGGAGCCAGAGGATACAGATAAGCAGGAGACAGAGGCGTGCTCACCTCTCCCGCCTCCACCTCCCTCACTGGACTGTTTCTGCCCCTCCACGCCCTACCCCCGCCCAACAGCACGCCATCTCCCCTTTGACCTCTTCCTAGGAACAGCGTCTCTCCGATGCCAAGGGCGCCCTCCCCTCCCATCACCTATGGCTACATCAGCGTCCCCACGGCCTCGGACCTAGCAGACATGGGCAGGCCTGGAGGAGGAGTGGGGTCCGAGGTGAGGGGCTTGCTGTGCCCACCTCGGCCCTGCCTCACACCCACCCCCAGCGAGGGCTCCTTAGCCAACGGCTGGGGCTCAGCCTCAGAGGACAACGGCCCCAGCGCCAGAGCCAGCCTGGTCAGCTCCTCTGATGGCTCCTTCCTCGCTGACGCCCACTTCGCCCGGGCCCTGGCTGTGGCAGCGGACAGCTTTGGCTTTGGTCTGGAGCCCAGGGAGGCAGACTGCGTCTTCACGGGTACGTGAGATCGCTGTTTCAACTCCCACCCCCCGGGAGGGGACACAGCTTCTCCCCAACCAAGAGTCAAGCATCCTCACCATCGTCACTGTGTCCCAGCCCCCATGGAAAGCACCTTACATACGTTCAGCATTAGCAGCAGCTCTCTGAGGAATATTCTTTATCATTCTTTTCCAAATGAGGGAGCTGTAAGTCCCATAGATTTATTAACTTGCCCAAGATCACCCAGAACAAGGATAAACTGTGCAAGTTAAAAGCCCAGAGGCAGGGACTTCCCTGGTGGTCAAGTGGCTAAGACTCCATAATCCCTATGCAGGGGGCCCAAGTTCAAAACCTGGTCAGGGAACTAGATCCCATATCCCACCACTAAGATCTGGCACAGCCAAATAAATAAATATTTTTTAAAAAAGGCCCAGAGGCAGCCAATTATATGGTCCATTCTGCTACCTCCAGGACCTTCCTCTTACCAAATGTGGGGTGCAGGAAAGGTTGCCCTCCCCAGCCCAGTGACAGATTCATCCACTGTGGGAAGTTCTGTTGTCTCTTACATCCCCCTGAGCTGTCAAAGCCTTCTTCCTCTGCCATCTATGGCCAGATGAGGCAAGACTGGGCTTCCTGTTTCATGTGTCTAGCAGGTTGGGACCATCATTCCCGAGTCAACGGCAGGTAGTGAGGGCTCCTCCAGCCCCTTCGGTGTTCCCTTCCTTGGACATATATCCCCAAGACCTAGTTTTCAAACCTTAACTCTACATTCTTCCCCCTAAAAAAGCAGTCAGGATTGTGGCGAACGGGAGAGCAGGAATTACCTAGGACAGAAAGCCAAGGCCAAGCTGGGAAGAGGGAATTCAAGCTGTTCTCTCGATGAGATCAATGAACATCTTCCTCTCCTTGGGGTGAAGGACCCTGGGGATGTGGCCACTGGGTTGATGGACTGAGTGGGACTGGGTTATGTCTACGGTCGGGTGTATGCCTGAAGCAGCCCCACGCCTTCTGCCCTAAACTGGTCCCCAAGGGTGAAGGCCAACCCTCCACAGACATCTATCTCTACCCTCCCTAACAGATGCTTCATCCCCTCCCTCGCCCCGGGATGACCTCTCCCTGACTTCTACCCTTTCCCTGACCCCGTGGGAGTGGAGGTCAGACTGGTTGGAGGACATTGAGAAAAATCCCACCCAGTGGCTGGGAAGGGGGCTGCCTCCCTGGCCACCTGAATCTCGGCTCTCTTCCCAGAAAAGTCAGCTCAGCTCTCCTGTGCCCAAAGCTGGCGGTAAGTGTCTGGTTGGCTGATGCAGCGATCCATCTTGACCGGAGGGGTTTTGTTGTGGTTGGGGGAAGCCAAGAGGGGTCCAGAAAGAGCGATAAGGAACAGGGGGGGGATAACTCCACCCTCCTTCAACTTCTCCTAGACTCCTGAACTGACCGCCTGACCGCCAAGATGAGAACCAGCCCTTCCTCTCCCATCAGCCACTGGCCGGGGCTGTGGACTGCGGGTCTTGGCTTCACTGCAGCTGGGGGGGTCCACCTTGTCTGGCCTCTGGCATTCTCCCTCCCAGATGGTGGGAACAAACAAAAGCAAAACAAAATAAGAACAGAGCGGACCTGCAGCCTCCAGAAGCAAAATGTCAGCTCCACCTGGCTTGCAGCCCTTGCCTTTCCCTCTGCTCCATCCATGCCCACAGTCAGGTCATTTTGGCCTGAGAAGCAGCCCTAAATCCTGTGTGTTCCCTGCCCCACCCCTGCCTGGGTCATAGGAAGTGGGGGACCCGGACGTCTTCCTGGAGGACAGCGCTGGCTTATGGGAAGGGACTGCGGAGGAGGGAGCGTCTCGGGGCCTCCTCTCAGCCTTTTCCAGTCCATTCCTGGCTCGCCCCAACCACACTGTGAAGGGACACAAAGAGGGGCTCCACTGAGGCAGTGAGGCCCGACCTTGGCACCAGGGCAAAGGGCTCAAGATGGATCAAGGGAGGAAGCTGAAGTGGGACAAACGTGGGACGAATGCACCCTCCTGATACTGTTGTCACTATGAGTTGTCACTGAGGGATTTGATACCATAAAGCTGTGATGACTTGAGTTCTGTGAGATCACTCTGTGAAGCACCATATCCTGCAGAGGGCACCTGGGTTAGGACAGCATCAGGCATTCACTGATCCTCCGGTGTTACTCTTTCTGTTCTGTTATCAAGGGGAGAATTACCTGCATCTTTCAGATTTTAAGCAGAATCCAGAAAAGGCCGCGATGGGGGTGTTTCTGGGTTCTGCAGGTCTTAGCAACTCTTCCCGTGAAGATGATTTCTGCTCTCACTAATCCCAGCCCCCAAGACCAGTCCTAGATAGTTTCTTAAAATGAAGTAGCTCCATTTCACGAAGGTAGGAACCACCTGTCATGGTTGGCTGGTGGGCACCCTTCAGACAAAGAACAGGACAGAGAAATGGAGGAGGAGCAGGACCTGCAGAGCCTGAGCCACAGAAAACCACCGTAGGCCAGGCAGGGCTTTATCCTCCTCACGTGGTAGGGAAGGTCGGGGGCAGGATCCACATACTGCGAGGATACTACTCAGCATGACCAGGGTTGTGATCTCAGGATGAGGACTCAGTGCCCTGCCGGATACACATCCGTTCCATTCTGCCTGCTTTTCCTTTTTAGGATTTTGTTTTAGTTTCCTGGTCAAACCCCTCTTGAAAACATGCCAACTGCATATGCCAGAGCAAATGAGAAAAAGAGATTTGTACGCACTTTGGTCAAAGTGGCAGAGGAGGTAGAGCCTGGGGTTGGGGCTCAGTCGTCATTCCCTGAGAGCCCTGGGCAGTCACTGAGCAATACCCAGGTCTACACAGTGAGTGGTGTGGGCCGTGGGATCAGGAGTGATGGCGACTATGGCATTCGTGGCCAAAATTTTGATTTTTTAAAAAAAATTTATTTAGATCTACCTCCCCAAGCAGGGATCGAACCCCAGCCCCCTGCATTGGGAGAGTGGAGTCTTCGCCACTGGAACACCAGGGAAGTCCTGTGGCCAAATTTTTTTAAAAAAACTTCTCTGCCAGCCTAACCAATTATTATGTAATAGGCTCTTATGAGAATAATTTGGCTAATCGGGCTTTCCAGGTGGCACTAGTGGTAAAGAACCCCCCTGCCAATGCAGGGGACTCAAGAGACGGTGTGATGGCTGGGTCGAGAAGATCCCCTGGGGGAGGGCATGGCAACCCACTGCAGTATTCTTGCCTGGAGAATCCCACGGACAGAGGAGCCTGGTGGCCTTGCAAAGAGTCAGACACAACTGAAGCAACTTAGCACGCTAATCAGGCTAAGAGGTGGCCTTCTGCACCTCTGTGAAAGGGTGGTCATGGGTGTCTGAAAAAGCCTCTTTTTCCTTCTTGGCCAGGATTCCCCCCTTGAACTTGTCCTTTCTCTGAGTTTTGAAAGATCGCTGTTGTTGTAAAGGGTGTATTTCCGGATTGTGGAGGAGGGCACCGAGAGAGGGGCTCTGGCACGGTTGGACAAGTTTCTTGAGGTTGGGTTTGTGGAAGGTCCCTCTGGTGGTAATTGGGGAGACAGTGGTTCAGCTCCTTCTGGAGGTAGGACAGGTGGCATCTCAGCCCTGCCCTCACCTAGTGCTTTCGACTGAAGAAGTTCAGAGGATACACACCCACTTGCAGCCCCCCTCCTCCCTACGTCCTGCACAAAACCCAACAAACAGGGCTCAGGGCTCTGATCTGTTCTTTTTATTGTGTTTTTTTATGAAGGGTCTCAGATGGCAAGGAAAGATCTGGCTCTCTGGCTCCTAAGCCAATTCCTCAGGGAGCCCCAGGCATCATGGCAAGAAGGAGGAGACCCCCTCCTCGCTCCTCTCTGCTCAGCCCTCATTCACCAGGGGGAGGGGCTCACGTGCAGATTCCTGGCCCAGGGACAAGCCCTTCCCCGTGGAACTTCTGGCTTATTGTCAAAGGTCATCTTGGTTCCTAGAGAAAGAGAGAGAGAGAGGCTGGCTTACAAGGCTGTGGCCCAGGGCCAACAGGCCCCAGTGGGGATGTGCCTCTTCTCTGGTCAGCTCCTCTCCTGATCCTGCTCCCCTGGGGAGCCCAGGCCCCTCTGTTAGGTCATCTGTGTCCATCCTTTGTCACCTCTGCTCTGGGCTCCTCCTTTCCTCCTTACTCACAGGATCCCTTCCTTTTGACACTCCCCCATCCCACCCCAAGCCCTTGATACCTTCCTATTTGTAATCGTCCCTTGGCCCAACCTCCCTAGCCCTCCACTCTCATTTTTTGGCCAGCCCCGGCCCCCACCTCTCCACGCTTCTGTCCGGGCCTTTGGCTCTGACTCCGGCTCCGGCTCCGGCCAGGGCCCCGGGATCCCCGAGAGCTGCCGGAGCCTCTGGAGGAGTTGCTGCCCGCTGTGGAACAGGTGCTTGTGCCCTGGCCCCGGGACAGGAAGCTCGGTCGACTGTAGGGGAGCCAGGCTTCTTCTGCAGCAGGAGACAGAAGGGCAGCTGGACTCAGGCAGGGGCCCGAACAGGGCTGCCTCCCCCTGCCTCATGCCGCCCTGACCGCCACCCCAGCTCTGGAAGAAGAGTGAAGGGCGGGCCATCCTGGGAACTGAGAAGCAGCAGCAGCCGGCCCAGCCCGTGGCCCTGACGTAACACGTGCTCAGAAGCCTGCAGGGAGCCCTCCATGAAGAGAGGGCCTTGGGAAAGGAGGGACAGAGTGCCCAGCCCCCACTCTGCACCTGGGCTCCAGTCCTGGGGAAGGATATGATTTGGGAACTGGAGGAATTTCTACCCAGAGAAAGCTAGAGAGACAAGTGCCTTTGATGTTGATGCTTGAACCCAGCTGGAGGTCAAGGGTGAGCTGGCTGGAAAATGAGTTCACCCTTGGCATCCTCCAAACACTAGGCTGCCATCCTAAAGCCCACCCTCTTTGTAGCCCTGGCCCTCCTTACCATCTGGGTGGGGGCGCCGCTGGCCCCCCAGGGGCGCGGCCTGCACCAGTCTCCTCTCCCCACTGTGCTCCCGCTCCCTTTCCAAGGAGGACATGCTGCCTGCTGCCCTCAGCCCCAAGGCCCAGCTTGCCTCTTCCTCTGGTGGCGGCAGGGGTGGCGGAGGCAGGTCTGGGGAGAGATACACTGTCAGCAGGGTCCCCTGCTTCTCCTGACCCCAGTCTTTCTCCCCCTCCCGCTACCTGGCCCCTGGAGGCTGTGAAGAAACAGCCTGAGGTTTGGGTTCACTGGCTCCCTCCTCCAGCCTGTCCCCACTCCTGTCACCGTCTCCCAGGCTCACGGCCCCCTCACCTCCAGGGCTGTGCTCCCGCCTGTAGGGAAGAGCCTTGGGTTTCTTCCGGATTCGGGCGCGGGGCCCGTGCAACGGAGGAGTCAGCTCTCCAGGCACTGGCCGGGCTCTCCCTGCGGCATTGGGAGATGAGACGGGCGGATAAGAGAGGGGGTCAGGAAAGGGGCTTGAGGGTGAAGGGGAAACAAGCTTTCGAGAAGATGGGGAGGTGTGGGGCAAGCTGAGGGGTCTGCAGACTCACCGGGGGCACTGCCAGCTGTAGCAGGGATGGGGCTGGGGCTGTGATGGGGGCCGGAGGGAACAGCACCCAGGCCGGCAGGCCTCCCTTCATGGCTACTCAGGGTGGGCTGGGAGACACTGAGAGGGGAGCTTGGCCCGAGGGGCACCCTCCTGCAATGACATGAGACTGCATTTGTTTGCTCAGCAAACACTAAGTGCCTACTCTGTAGCAGGCACTGGGCTAATCAGTCAGCCTAATACTCAGATGAATAAGACACAGCATGCCCCCGACAAGGCTCCCACCCTAGTGCAGTATGAGGAAAGCCATCTCTGAAATGCCGCAGGAAGCTTGCAGGGTCACTCTGATGGAGAAATTCTAAAGGGAGTGAGAGACTTTGTCTGTCTCCACATTTCTCCCCACGTCACACTTCCACCCAGATATGGTCATGAGACCTCAGGACCCCAGATTCATCCATCCATCCATGTGTTCATCCATCCATCCACACACTGAATAAATACGTACAGAGGGCTATAACATGCAAGGTACTATACACCTCCCTACCTGGGCATCTGGTGGAGATGGGGAAGGTCAGTGGGGGGCTGGGGAGGGTCAGGAGGTGAAGGGGTGAGAGTGGCCGTGGACTGCTGCCCATAGGAAGGTGTGGGAGAGGGGGTTTCTCCTCGGGACGCAGGGACCAAGCACCCCCCACCGGAGCTGGGCTCTGCCGCATGGCTCCTCTCAGGCATCGGTGGGCACCACTCCTCTGGGTCTGAGCTGGGGGCAAAGAGGCAGGAGGGTAAGGATGACTGAGTAGCTTCATCCCCTCCCTTTGACCTTCTGTTGCCCCTTCCCTTCTTCTCCCAGCATTCTCTCCCTCCTTGCCCTGGCAGAAGGCCCTGGGCTGGGCCCTGTGTAC